GCTAAGGGGGGGCGGGGGGAGGGAGATGCAGAGTCACATGCCAGAAGAAAAGGCCAGCAAATGCCAGAACGGGCTGAATTGCAGAGAGAAGGGCAGATGCAGCGAGAGGAAGGAAGGGGGCCGAGGGGTGGGGGCACACGGGAGCTAGGATGCTGCTTTCCCACAGCATTGATCCCTGCTAGGTCACACACCAGAGCCTCCTGCGGCCCCGGGGGTTATGAGCTCCCCAGGGTCATACGCGCCGCGTGCGTCTGCCCCGCAGCCAAGAAATGAAGAGGCCAGCCTCTAGCAGCTTATCGCGGGTGCTGCTCTCGGCCAGAGAGGACAGGAAGGCCCCTGAGGATACCCGACAGCGCGGTGCCATCCTAGCTCCGGGGCGCGGGGACCTCACGGTCTGGAGGGGTCGGAGGCCTGGCTCTGCCCCAGCCCTGCCGGGTCCCATTGCTAGACCCGACAGGCACCAGCTCTATGGCCTGCTGCGATGCCAGTTATATCATTAATGTGATCAATACCCTGGAGGGCAATGGGGAACAACGCAGCCTCGGGGTGATACAGCTGGGAGAGGGGTCCTGCTTTGAGCACGGGCCGGACTAGATGCAACCTCCTGACATCCCTCCCAACCCTCATTTGCTATTCTGGATAGTCTGCAGCTTCCCCCCCAAAACCGTATCCCAGATGTGACTTCAGAGCCTGGAGAGGCCCTGTTTTGCTGAGCTAAGGGAGGTGCAATCCAGGGGGCTGCTCCACGTGAAGAGGCTACCATAGAGGACAGGACTTCGTGCCAAATTTTGGAGTGGGGCGGGCACGAGGCAGGACGAAGAGGAGGTTTGGATCTGCGTCTTCAGTGGATGAGGTGCACCACCCCCCTGGTCACATAAAGACACTCAGTATTAGCCACTCTGTGACGACCCTCTGGGACACCCAGTTGCACAGAGAAGTCGGCAGTCTGAATGGTTTGGGTCCTGTGGCATCATAAAGCAAAGCGCTGGAGGCGGATGCGTGTTTGCTTTTCTCCCAGCAGCAGACGCAGGTCTTGAGAGGGCAGGGGGCTGGTCAGATGAAAACCCCTGCCTGGCCACCCAGGGAGGAACTCAGCTTGACTGTGACCCTGCTGGAAAGCTGGGGACAATCGCAGGAGCCTGGTGCTCACTCGTGTCACCAGGAAGATGAGGTGGAATAGGGAATGCTCTGAGCAAAGAGAGACTTCTTGGAAACCTGAAAAGAAACCCCCAGGCAGAGACATTTAGGTGAGTAGGTATGGTGAGTATTTTCCTACTCTTTAGTCAGGACTTCCTCAGATGCAAAGGAGGATCCCCTCTCCGTGGTACTTAAGCAACCAGCAGTCATGTCATCAGAGGAAACAATTCCAGGGCTGGCTGGATTATCTAGGAGTGGCACTCTGAGGTCAGGGACATATGGGCAGGTGGATCAGAGGCAAAATAAACCTTATTCAGTGAAAAATAAGGCACAGAGTTGCGAGATTGCCCCTGCGGTGATCCTCCAGCCCCAAGGGTTTCACGTGCCCCCAGCCCCTGCGTATCACGGCTGCCACGATCCCTAGGGCTCGGGGGTGCATGAAATCCCTGGGCATGGCACACCCCTGGAACTGGGAGCCCAGTCAGCTCCCATGTGCAAATTACATGTGCAAATTAAAGCTGAATAGCAACCAGCTATCAAGTAGTATTAAGTTAGTACACATTTTCAAGGTCCACCTTTATAGCTGGCAGGAGTTTTTTTATAGATTTCATTGAATTCATAGATTTTTAGGATCAGAAGGGACCTCAGTAGATCAAGTCTGACCCCCTGTCCTGGGCAGGAAAGAGTGCTGGGGTCAGATGTATGTCCAGTCTCTTCTTAAAGACCCCCAAGGTAGAGGAGAGCACCACCTCCCTTGGAAGATTATTCCGGTTCTGGTAACCCTTACCATAAAGAAGTTCTTACTAATGTCTAGTCTGACCCCAGCGCTCTTTCCTGCCTAGGCAGGGGGTTGGATTTGATGGCCTGTTGAGGTCCCTTCCGACCCTAGCATCTATGAATCTATGAATAAATCTGCTCCGTGTCAGCTTGTGGCCATTGTTTTTATTGTGTGATACCTACTTTGCACATGTAGCTGGTCTCCGGGGGGCTAGTTAAGTGTGCAATACCTGTAATGTGTAATGGGGACTACAAATGTCTTTGGGGCTTCTTGCACAATCTACAAATAGCCAAAAAGAAAGCGCATTTTAAACGCTGGGTTAAATCATCAGAGGCTTTTCCTGCTTCAGCAAGTCAGGTTGGGAGGGCCTGTTGCTTCCTTCGGAGTCTCTTCTCCCCCAATTTCCCCATTCCTTTTGTGCCCTAGCCCCGGAAGCAGAAACTGATTTCAGTTCAAAAGTTTGTGTTTTGTTTTTCCCAAAGCAAACCTGGAAGATTTGGAAGGAAGGAGATGCTTTCCCCCACATTCAGTCAAACCCCAAGTTTCAAGCCACAAATGTTTCAAGACAACATTTCCATCAACTACTGCATTAACACTTTCAGCCCCATGGCTCAAACAACCACCACGATGAGCTTAATATAAAGGGTGGGCCATAAAACCACGGGTGGGATTTGACTCTGTTAGGCTGGGGGCCAGTGACCTTTATAAAACACTGGCTGGAACAACCCAGCTCCTGTCCAGCATGGGCCTGGTGGCTTTGGTGACACAAGAGCAGCAAGGGGCTTTGTCCATGCCCGCACTAGGACCAAGCAGCTGGAAGATGCACCCGTGCTGCTGCTACTTCCCCCAGCCCCTGCTCTCCGAGTTCAGCATAAATGCAGCTTCCAGCCAGATAGCAGATCCACTGGGGCCAGGCACCTGAGAGCTGCTCCTGGACCATCACCACTTCTCCCTGATCCCAGCTACAGCACAAGTGCAGCTGCTAATCTGGTGGGGAACTGAGTCAGGAAACGGTCTTGTGAGGGGTCACTAAAGCCCCTAAATGGCCTGAATCCTGCACAGCTGTGCACCTGCTAGCACCATTTGTGCAATGTGGGCATACAACGGCTACCTGTGTGATCGCGCAATTGCTCACCTTTCCTTTACTCTGCCCTAAGTGCCTCTGCAAGGCATGGGGGAGGGGGGACCTGAGATTCAATGTGCTGCTTCATGGGAGAGTGGAAGTATCGGCAGACACCAATACCAGATACACTCAGATGACACAGAGTGAGTCATGGGAGGGGACGTGTTCATTATTACTAGGAGGAAAATTGATTTGTATTACAATAGCATCGATAAACCCCATTGCTGGACCAGGACCTGCTCGTATCAGGAAGGTCCCGACCCAGAAGGTCCCAACCCCACAGGCTTCCAGGATCAAAATGCTAGGACCAGCGTAATGCTCGTGTCTCATGCACAGGTGGAATATCACTGAGCTCTGCAACCCTAGCCTGAAAAACGAATCAGACTCAATAGTGTGGTTGCAGGCCTGCCTCCCATTCCCCTTGCCAGCCTGCCCTGGCATAGAGGGCTGATGAAATAGGCATTAGACTGTCCCCTGGGCATATCGCCTCCAACCTAAGAGATCTTCTGCAGGAAGTATGGTGTAGCCATGCCCTCTCCTACTGCAGGAACCATCCCTGGGCTTGGCCACGGTGAAGTGCTGGAGGAGGAAGTGGCTACACTGCTCTTACAGTCAGGTAACTCTGTGTTTTTGCAGTGCTCCATCAAGGCATGATTTAGAGCAACGGTGCCGACTGCCAGCAACCCCAGGGGCCGGAGCAGTGGTGATGAAGATCTCTAAACCCTGAACTATTCCAACATTGCACAGTCTTCTTGCTGCAACCCATGTCCTTCCTCATCCATCCCTCCTGGCATCTAGCTGTGGTTTGTCACAGCACCATCTTGCATCATGTCTAAAATTAGATTGTTCATTGAAACCAGGCACTAAACCAAGCTCTTTCTTTTCTTTTCTTTTTTTTCCTGCTGCTTTTGCAAATGACCCTGCATGTCTGGACCTCTATAAACAATACAAGATGAAGGAGACCTAAAACAGGCTGCCTATGTGGGGGACAAACAAAGCACGTTGCCAGTTACCAGTTACCATCTCTGCAAAGCGGTGGACGGTTGAAAGGGTTAAGAAGAAAGCATGAGCTGGGAGTGAAAGAGCCATAGACAGCTGGCATCGGTACAGAGGTTTACTGCACCATTCAATTGGAAAGAGATTGGATTATCTCAAGGACTGCAGGAACTTGTCAGGATTATTCAGAATCAATGAAATGGCTGTTAACCACAAAGTCTTCAAGGGCTTTCATTCTCTGCTGGAGCCAAAATATCGTGCAGGTCCCAAAAAAGCAGCGGGGGGAGGAATACAAGCCCGGGGTGCTGGTTCTCTCCCTGGCTGCTGATGAATGGGAATAAGTCATGTGATGCTTTCAGAGGACTTAGAATCACAGAATCATAGAAAACGAGGGCTGGAAGGGACCTTCGGTCACATAGCTGCCGATCGTTTCAAATGACTGAAATCACTGCATTGCGATTGGTCCTGTTGTGATGCTGGCGGGGGGGAAGGGGGAAGCCATGGAGGTCAAAAAGGACAAAACGCTGCAAACTCGAGGCGCTGCCTAGCCCAACCCTATAGGTTGACACCTTTGTTACTGGACCATGCTAGGGAACCTAATTTTGCTTCGTCCCGGTCTTCATCCACTCATTAGCAAACCGCAAAAGATGCTCCTTTGATTAGCAAAGAGGCAAAGCTGCTGCTGGCCTTGGG